TTTTTCTTTGATATTCAAATTGATGCCTCTCCTTTTTTTTCTTTTTTCTTTTTTTTTTGTTTCTACCTTAATGCCTTTGTCACTCTTATTTTGTCTATGTTTGAACAACATGTTAAATGGCATATGAAGATAAAATCAGATTATGCTCTGTGTGTGTGTATTTTCTCTTTCCGTTGAACCAAACATGGAGGCAACAACCTTTATGGGTAAAAAAACTCTAGTAAATGCTTTTGTGCTTTGAATGTGCTCTTTCCTAAAAAGAATGAAGGCACTTATCCATTTTAAACTTACATGAATAACTGGAAATTTGGTTGTCAGACCAGACTATGCTGACAAAACACTTATAACTAATAAAGAGGCAATAGACATGTTTAGATAAACTTAAAATCATTCAAAATTATAGAACATATTAATTTCCTCAAACTACCATCAGAGATTTCACATGGTCTAAACAAACTAATTTTTTTACAGAACATATTAAATTACAGGACAGATTAATTCCAGAACAAAATAGAACAGATTAATTCCAAATTTCATTTTTAAACAAACAAACTACCATCAGAGATCTCAAAATAGATTAATAACAAGTCGGAGAACAGATTAATTTAATATTTTTTTCAATTCCAGCCACACTTTATCAGAGAACAGATTAATAACAAGTCCAATATACAGTGTAATAACAAGTCCAATATAGAACCGATTAATCTAATTTTTTTTCACTCGTGGATGCAAATTAATCTAATATTTTTTCTATGAAGTCCCTCACAAAATCCATTGCAAATAACAAGAAAAATAAACCAAACCTTTGTGGTTTTCTCTCTGTAAGCTTCCTATCTCTGTGTAGAACCCTCATACCGTGAATCTAACCACCTCTCTAGTTTTAGAATTGGAACCAAAATATATATATATATATATATATTAGACTCTAAAAGATTAGAACTAGAACAAAACAAAAAAAAACAAATTAGACTCTAAAAGAGAGGTTTTCGAACTGGAACACACACATATAAAAAAAAAAAAACAGATTACATATTGAGGAGCATGAATAATTAGGTTTTATCAATGTTCTCGTGAGCTCTCCGAATCGCCTGTGTTCTAATCTAGAAAACCCAAATTTAAGAACAGTCATAAGATCAAGCAAATGTGTTTTACCGGAAAAACTAACCCAGATACACTAACAAATCATAAAACAAAATTAAACAACCAGAAAGTTGTAGTAGTTTTTCTCTGGAACCAAATAGAAGGGGAAAGGTGAAAAAATAAAAAAACCCAAAAAATGGGGAGAAGAAAAGAAAAAGAGAAACAGAGAAGAGGAAAGAAGAAGAAGAAGAAGAAGAGAGAGAGAGAGAGAGAGAGCTCAGTGTAGATCGATCGACGTTTACTGTAGATCAATCACTGTTTAGTGTAGATCGTCAGACAATGGGTAGAGTATAGAGAGAGAGAGAAGAGAGATAAGAGAGAGAAAGTGTCTATGTGTAAGTGTTGTGTTCTGTCTATCGAAGAAATTAGGGCAAAACTGAGGCATATCAGAAAGAAAAAAGGGGCTGAGGCGTAAAAGAAAAAGAAAGAAAATAAAAATAAATAAAGGTCTAGTCAGGTCGGGTTTGCTGGGTTAAAAGGCAGATCACCCGCCACCCGACCTGAACCTGAAAAAACACAAAATTTGGGCCCGCACCTGCTCGCCACGTGTCACGCATCCATCCGTTGTTGGTCGGGGTCGGATCGGGTCAAGTCTGTGGATCTGCTGCATAGCCCTACGAACCATATTGTGAAAGTGACTTTGTTGTATATACACTAATCATTCACTCAAATGAATTTTCAACTAAACGTTTGAGTGTGGGATCATATATGGAAAATTAAAAAATTGTCCTAGAACAAATTCATGTGATGTCTTAATTTGTGATTTATTGGTTAAAATAATAAAACTTATCATTTTTATATTTAATTTTTTAGAAGATAACAACGCAAGTGTCCTAATATAAATTGTGTGAAACAATATTCTAACACCATATCAAATAATCTCTATATATGAAAAAACTAAGGTAGTGTTTGGTAGAATTTTCTAAATATGATTTGAAAATAAGAGTTGTATTTTGAGTTTGTGAATTTTGAAATTATGATTTGAGTGTGAAAAATTTGTTTGGTGAATGAGTTTTGAAAAGAGTTTTGAATATTTTTTTGAAATGAGTAGGGAATTTTTTATGTAACATATGATATTTGATACAAAAATTTACAACTCATAACCAAACACACAACTCAAAATTCTATTCAAAAATCAATTTTTTTTTAAAAAAAAAAATTTCAAATTTTTTTAATTTAAAATATAAAAAATAACAGTTGGCAATTGTAACCAAAAAAAAAAAAAGAAAAGAAAATTGTAGTGCTCCGAACTAGCCGAATGTCTGGGAGAACACCGGTTAGTCCAAATTTTCCCGCCTTGGATAGAGTTTTCAAAAGCGAGTGTGGAATTAATTTTTAAAAACTGTAAACAAATGCCAAATGCAAATAGAATGGTAGAAATATATTTAGAGAATACAACCAAACACAGCCTAAAGTGCTCCTTCTTTTTTTGGTCTTTGGTAATTTGTTTTTGGATGTACCGACACTACAAGAATTAACACTTTTGGCAACAAAAAAATTGGTCGCTAAAAGTCTATTTTTGGTCGGCAAAAATTATCCGCGACCAATTTTTTTGGTCGTTACTTTGGTCGCCAATTGAGGGTCGGCAAAAGTAATTCGCGACCAAAATTTTGATTGGTCGGCAAAAGTTGAATTTGCTGACTAAATTTTTGGTCGCTAAATATTTAATTATCGTGACTAATTTATTTTGTCGCCAAAACACTTTGGTCGCGAAAAGTGATATTTTCCCGACCAAATTTCTTAGTCGCTAATTGTCACATTTTGCGACCAAATTTTTTGGTCGCCAATTATCACATTTCGCGACCAAAAAAATTGGTCGCCATTTGTGTCTTTTCGCGACCAAAACTTTTGGTCGGCAAAAGTGAGATTCCACGACCAAGAGCTGTTTTGGTCGGCAATACATGTATTTTTTGCGACCAAAACTCTTGGTCGGCAATTGTCATTTTTTGCAAAAAAAAATTATTTATTTGTCGCGACTAATAAATTGGTCGCCAAAGCACGAAAACAATACACTTGTAATTCCTAATAATTCATTCAATCCATAACAAACCTATAATTTTAAAGCATCATTCAAATTAACTGAATCATTAACATTCGACACAATACATAAGGGTCCCACCTTGAGCCCTTAGTTTACTAGTGAAAATTTAAAGGATTTGTTTCAAACATTTCTCATCTATAAACAACTTCAGGATATCTTTTGAACAGTTTGTCATATGGAAGCCTGAAGTTCATCCGGGCTTACAACAGTTCCATTTGGGGTATCATCAGCACGGAGCTGCGAAGAGACATCATCTATGGCAGAGTTTAGCTGGGCGATCTTCTCAGTCAGGATTTTGCGTGTTCTCTGTTCTCATCAAATCATATAAAGTGGATGAGAGTTCATATTGTCAACATGAATCAATGACAAGATCCCTAGTAAAAATTAAAAAATACACCATATCATAGAAAACAAAAAATTATTAAATTAAATATTTAATGAATAACGTATATGTCATGTACTCTATGTGATAAAGAATACAGATTCTGGGGCTGCTTGATCATATCAATCAAGCTTCCAAAAATATGATAAATTAAGGGTAAACCACAAATAGATGACCATAGATGAATGGAAAACTAAATAAGCATAATAATAATTTTTTTAATTAATAAAAAAAATGAGAGGACGGTTCTACTTCTCTAACTCCTGTTTTATTAACATCATCATCATCATCATCATCATCATCATCATATTAGGTTGGTGGAGGGTGGCAGAGTTTAAGAAAAAGAGAGCTTGAGGTGTTTACGAACCAAGAAATTTATGAAAGTCAGCTCCACAAAAGGAAAAAAAAAAATAACCAAGACATTTTTTATGAACCATTAATGGAAGCCAAAATGCAAGAGAAAGATCTCACCTCCAAGGCTTTCTCTTCATCACATATGAATTTTGACAGCTTTTTCATCAAATCTTTCCTGTCTGCTCCTGCCAGTGCCTTGCTGATCTGTAAGGCAAATGAACCTCACAGCAACTATGTTATCCAATCAATAATTACAGAATTCAATTTTTCAAAAACCAACAATGTATAACAACAAATAATTAAAAGCACAAAACATGAAAAACTCCAAGTAATTAGAGTATATACATCCTGCAGATTTACATGCCTAATTATAGATGTGTATTGGTGCCTCTGGTGTGTTGGACATTTAACATTTCTGAACTGAATTCAAACGCACCTACCAAACATTTTATGGTATGAGAAGTGAAAGTTCAATCAACTGTTACTAAAATGAGGTCACCTAATGAAGAACAGAAAATTCGCTCATTTATCTTGAAAGTGATGATATTTATGTTCTTTTAGTACATGACAATATTCGTTATTTTGAATTTCATTTGTAGATTGGCTGCCATTTATTCTTGTCACTTTGCATACTCAAAATATCAGATTTCCACTTCGAAATTACTATAAGTACTGTTGGCAGTCGTTTCCTTTCTATGGGACATCAAAATACAACCTTAATTTTCCCAACAACCCTAGTAATTAGCAATATATGAATAGATGTTCATGGCAACCGGTTGCGTCTTGTAAATAAGAAGTGACAGAACAATACCAGGGTTTTCTCAGCACATTACTCTTTTTTTCATCTATACAAAACAGAATTTGGACTTTCAACTGACATTAATAAGTTTAACATACAGAGCATAGGCTAGTATTCAAACATCATTGCCTCCTAATTTAAAAATAAATAAAATAAAAAAATCATAAATAACAATTTAAGCAAAAAATTGAGTTGAATAATAAGTATATTTAAAAACATAAAAAGGAACATACATGGCACTGATGTGACATTCATCATCAGAAAGGTAGGTGCAATTGATAGTACAGTCATACATAAGGGAGGAGTCCACTATTGGTGTTTGCCAGTTCAAGTTTTTGTCATAATGTTTCAAATTGAAATTCCAGCCTTTTTTACCCTGTTGTTCAACTATTTCACCAAGAGCTTCCACTGCAGAAATCAAAGTCATGTTAGCCTTTAAAGTAATTAGAGATAAGTGATATAACATGGAGAAATGTCTATGTATCAGCATCATTAAGTATGGTTAGACATCTTAGTATTTTTACAAATTGTGCCTAAAATAAAGTTCATGCATGAATAAACAAGGACAAATTGGTTAAACAAGATAAATAGTCATATCTGGAACCTTTTTTGAAAATGCCATTTTCAAATTGGTATTACCAAAGTGCCTGATCAGGAAACCTAACCATCTGACAGTTCAAACCTTTAAATTAACTCATATGTTATGACTACACAACATGATTATAGAAGGTTTGTCTTTAACTCATGCCTGTTACATCAAATATAAACTTCAAGGGCATTGAAGAGTAATCATATAATGCTGCTGTGATTTGTTTGTTTATACAATGAATGCAACCAAAATGAAGACAACACTGTGTCTATCCAGCTGCTTTAATACTACAGTGTGCCTATCCAGCTGCTTCTATCCAGCTGCTTGTAAACAACAAAAAAGCCTACACTTGAGGAGTTATTAGCAGCAGGCAAAGGTTCAAAATGTTGAAATGGATATAAAAGTTTATTAAGTAAAAATCATGCCATTGCCCAGTGCTGAATCCTATAAGGCAGGCAGCTAGTAGAGGTGGACTTGAATAGGCATAAGAAGAAGAAACAGAAGAGAGAAAGAAAACAATGACAGAAATAGAAAAGAGAAAGAAAACGACAATAGAAACAGAAACAAGAACATTAAGTATAATAAAAAAGAAAATTAAAGAGAATCATTTGATAACCTCTTCCAACAAAACAAAAAATAAGCTAACACCCCGCATAGTATACACTTTAAAGGCCAACCTTTGAGTAACTTCCATCAAGAACTATGGCTAGACTACAGTCGGCAATAGCATCAGCAATTTGGCCCAGAGATTGGTGTGCAGCAGCACGGTTGCAAAAACAAATGGCCGCAAAAGACATGATTTGATATTGCTTGATACCATGGCAATATAATGCTCCACTGCTTCTGTATGCCTTCCAGAGTGAAATGCTTCATTCTATGCATTCTGAAGTCACGACATTTGGTAAAAAAATTTATATTCCATTTAAGCACAAATTTTCAGAACGGTGTTCTAAAGTCGTGTGCCAGAATTTATATTCCATTTAAGCACAAATTTTCAAAATGCATTCTCCTTTTACAGTTTTACCAGCCTTTATGAATGAATATCGTGTGCCAGAGCTTAATGTTCAGAATGGTGTTCTGAAGTCCCTCTCGTTTCTATTCCAGTACATTGGTGAAATGGGAAAGGATTACATTTATGCAGTGACGCCATTGCTAGAGGATGCTCTCATGGACAGAGATTTGGTTCATAGGCAGACTGCTGCTTCTACTGTGAAGCACATGGCTTTTGGAGTTGCTGGGTTGGGATGTGAGGATGCTTTGGTTCACTTACTAAATTATGTTTGGCCAAACATCTTTGAGACATCCCCACATGATATAAATACTGTTATGGAAGACATCACAGAAGAAATTTATTAAAATGCAAGAAAAGATCATCTGAGATCAAGTTTCCCTTTTGCCACATTAAACAGGATGTTTTTTTAACAAAATAACAACTCACAAATTCAAACTTCAATCATTCAGTCCCAAGGAAATATGACATTTATATAATGTAATAGATAAGAATTAAGGGCAACAAAACAAGATGCTTACCTCTCTCCCATCATAGTTGCAAACTATAGTGTTTGTCACCCCCATACGATGTAAATTTGCAGTAAGCGACTTGGGTCTTGACTCCTTTATCTCATTTGCATAAATTATACCTAGTAACCATTGCATTAGATAACAGGGAGGAAAGAGGCATGGGATTCATATAGATACTAGGGCAAGGAGAAAAAAAATCATCAAGGACTTTGCCCAAAGACAATTTGTTGTTGGCAACTTTTTGAGTGCAAAAAAATGGTTATACATACATCAACAGAATAAACATTATACACCAACTTGTTTGACATCAGAATAAATGAAGATTTGTATTTAAACTAAATTTTAAGAAAGTAAATGACCGCCATTTCGGTTGAAAATTCCTCCAAGTTGCTCAATAGACAGTGTCACACTTTATTGTGTAGGTGGAAATAGGGTAAGCCCGTATCTCCCCGCATTAACAAGTAAATGGACACAAACTCATGCATATATTCACTTGAATATGCTCAACCCAACAAGTTGTGAGTAAGCCATAACAACAATATGAATTAATTGAAAGCATAAGTGCAATTGAAATAACAGAGTCAAGATGGAAATCACTACACACCACTGTTTTTCATAAGAGCAGCAACGTAGGTTGTTTTACCACCAGGAGCAGCCCTGCAATAAGGTATAAATTGCAATTAAGAGGGAGAATGCAGATAGAAAGAAACAGTGAAGATAACACATGAGACGTGGACATGGATACCACATATAATCCTATTCCTTTGATTGCATAAATGTCCATGACTAGTGTGTGAGACTGAATACATCAATCAACTCTACCATTTCTCATACAAAGAAATGAACATGAAAAAGGCAAGATATTAGTGTCCCTAAAGTGAGCTTTCTTTACACTGTTTTGTCTCAGATTGTATCAAAGGTTAAATTATGCTACAAATTCATAATATAAGAATTGTGCAATGGAATCACAAGTTAACTACAACAATTTTCAAAGCTGGACGTATGTAAGGATGCTTTTGTTACTTACCTTACCCGTCAAAAAAACAACATTAACATGAAGAAGAGAAAGAGGAAAACAAAAGACAACATTTAAAGTATAATAAAACAAAATAAAAGAAAGAAAGAGAAACTTAGCCATTAAACTTGCTCAAATAAAAATAAGAAACTAAAAACACAGGATAATGCAAAAAGATTCAGATAGATAGCAAGCAGATATTTCTGTGTGAAAGAGTTCAGTTACTTACGCCATATCAACAATCCTTTCCTTCTCTTGAGGAGCAAGGGCCATCACAGGAAAAAAAAAGCTTGCACTTTGCAACTGTAAGCAAACTTACTATGAGCACTAAGCAAACCACATAAAACCCAAAACAATATATATATATATATATATTTTTTTTTTTTTTCTTTTCTCTCATGAGAACCCAACTGAATTCAGATCAATAAAGAACATTTCAAACCCAAAATTAAACCCAGATCACCTTTGAAATCAGTAAAACCCAACAAAAGGATAGATCAAGCAACTAGTACTAACTAATTAAACTCAGTTTACAAACAGAACCCAACTGAATTCAGATCAAGGAACAACATTTCAAACCCCAAAATTAACCCCAGATCACCTTCGAAAGAGCCTTGACGATGGTATCAAGAATATGCCTCGACTGTCGATCATAATACTCCTCAACAGTGAGCTTCCAACCCGGGCTTTATTTGATCTTAGATTGGTTTTGGAAGTCTAAAGCTTAGTTATAATTTAATGGAGTTGATATTTTGGCACTGTTCGGCAACTTGGCTTTTTGGATAGCCAAAACGTAAAACAAAATCACTTAAAAAGCCAACAAAAAAAAGGGTCAAACATCTTAGTAATTCATGGTTTTTCATACAACCAAAAATAATTATTCCCAAACACATTAAATTTTTTTGACCTCATAAAAAAGCCAAAAAATCAAAAAATCTCACTAAAATGGCCAATTCCCATATGAGGCCTTTATAAACTTTCATTTGAAGCCTCTTTCAAGTTTGTATAATGCAACCCTAACCCTAGGTGGAATGCATATGGAATCATGGTGTGATGCCTAGATTTCTTTTTGTTTTTTCTTTTCCAGTTTACTATTCACAAGCTCTATTCAAAGCTCCTGAACAGCCCCTGTTTTGATCTTCTTTTCCCCATTTTTATCAACCTTAAACCTAGGTCATCCCTAAAGTAATTGAAACCCTAAAATTCTTACTGATTTTCAGCTTTAAAACACAATAAAACCCACAGAAATTCAGCTGAGAGGAAGTCAGAAAGAACACTAAGTACTTACAGATTCAGGAAAAAAAAAAAAAAGACTTCTAGATAGAGTGTACAGCTGATACAACTTTCTTTTGCGAACATCAATTGGGAGAAGGAAGAACAAGAAAACATGCTAGCTAGTGATAATACCATGTAATAACCAGCCATATATTCAGGAGTGGCACCAATCGGAACTTGTGAATCATACACAACAAGTCCAACCTGCAAATTTGAAAGAAGGTTAATTAAAGCTAAACCAATACAAACAACACACAGATTGAAATAGAGAAAAGAGAGATTGAAATTGATCGAACCTTTAGACGAAATCGAACTGCTTAAAGCTCTGAGACGGCGTAGAGATCAAGCACAGAGAGAGAGAGAGAGAGAGAGAGAGATAAGAGGCAGGAGAACCGTCGCAAGATAATGATATTTACTGTCACAATAGGCAATGGTATGGAAAGAATGACTCAAATTTATTTGTGAGATGCCAAGCCATTGTTTGAGAATTTCTCTTTTTCATGAATAATGTTAGAGTTATCTAATTTTTCACCTAACAATTTACACACGCATTTACATAGATGTGGAATAACATTTATCTTTTCATATCTTGTGTTTGGTTCACGGATTTGAGAAGGAATTTGGAAAAGAAGGGGGGGGGGGACGCACCGAAGGGAGAACCACTGTATTTCAAAAGACTATTAAATTCTTTCTTTTTCTTTTTCTAAACTCCTGAAGGTGCCATAATCTTGTAATTCAAATTTCAATAAACAGTTTGGAAGCAATCAGGTCAAGCTGCCACTCCAGCCACATACAATTGTTAAGAATTTCGACTCAAAAAAGCCCTCCATGAAATTATTTTATTCTATATTATCCACAAATATGTCAGCATGGGTACATTTATGAACGTAGGTACCCGTGTGTAGTATAGAACAATCAGACTGCAACTAGTGTTATCTTTAAATTCTATTTTCTTTCTTCCATCATATAGTGTTTTAATATCAATATTTCATTTGATGAAGTAAAATTATTTACACCACCAAATTCTTTATACCTGTTGTAACAAGCCCGCGGGGGACCTCGCTACAACTCGGACTCGACTTTTGTTGTCACGGTTCTAAATCTGAACCAAAGAGTCCAAATCCGGCAAATCGTTTTAGGAAAACTGATTTTTGAAAGAAGTGCCAAACATGGACTGCTTTGCCAGATACAGAGTCGCCACCATCCAACTGCAAGGTTCACTAGAGACAAAGAAATGCATCCCATCCAAGTGATCAAAAAATAATGTTTCCCTTCCTAGTAATGTTATGATGATCCTCACAAATTGTAAATTTTACCCTCGTAGAATGATAGGTATACCATCCTGCTGTTTTGTACCCCATCCATTCCTCAAGCGATAATGGATTTGGATTTTGGAACATGAAGACTAAATAGAGAAACAAAGAATGAGAATTTCCTCAAAAGCATCATCATGATCAGCAAATGAAACAAAACCATACTCGGCACCAATTGTCAATGTAGCAACTAATTAAAAGTCATAGAAACATAAAACAGAATTGTAAGAAATATTTAAGGTGTTATAATGGAGAGGCATTAAGTCATGATGAGACAACCAGCATGGTGGGCTAGAGTTATTGACTGGCCACTCTATTGAAAACCAATAGTCCAAGTTTAAGACTTATGGTAGTAAGCACAACTATGGACCAAGGTTGGGGTTGAGTAGCCTTAACAGATAAGGCATAACAGCTATTGAACAAAACCCATTTTGAATTCCATTCATAATGCCTTCAAACTATTGTGTTCATAAACATTAAGATAAATTCATTATACCTTACTATATTTATATATCTTAAGCTTCATACGCTCATTGTTACCACAGCATCCCTAGCAATTGAATTGAAATACACATTAGTATAGATATACTTATTTCCTTCAAACAGCAGTGTGAGAGTGTATGTGTGTTTGTGTGTGTGTGTGTGTGTGTGTCAGAGAGAGAGAGAGAGAGAAGTAACATAAAGAACGTTCAACCACAAGTAGAAATAGTCACATTGACCACTGCTCCAGGTATGAACCTTCGAATTAAAACATGGAATTCATTACTCATAAGCAATCACTATAAATCTCGTAGGATTTGGGATAAATGACTATCAACAAAAATTACAGAACCTACAAACCAATTAAATCTTCAATGCACAGTTCAATTGAATTCAAAGGGTAGGGTTCCAATGAGGTTCTTCCATTGTTGTTTCAAATAGATGTTCAAAGTTTGTAATTCTGATGAAATTTAATGAGTGCAGATGTTCAATAAGTAAGGGAAATTAGTAACAAAGAAAGAAAAACAGAGAAATTGAGTGAGAGAGAGAGAGCCAGAGGACCCATACTTGAAAATAAAAGTAAAAAAAATTAGAGAAATAATCGAATAATACTGGAAGCGATGCCGGTGGCACTGACAATTGCTCGGAGGAGAATGTGGGTGATGTCGGTGGCGGCACTGAGAGAGAAGAACGAGCTGAAAGAGGATAAGGGGCGCTGTGTTTTGTGAGAGATGAATGGGGGGAAAACTGATAAACAAAAAAGAAAAAGAGGAGGGGAATTAGTAACCTAATTTTTTTTCATTACTGCCCAGTTTCTCTCCCCCAAAAATTGATGACAAAATAATTTCCTCGCCAAAAGTCTTAAAATATTAAAAATTATTGACGACGAAAATATATTCTTCATCAAATGATCTCAAAATATTTAAAATTAAGTTTTTTTTTTTAAAAAAAATATCTAAAATTATTGATGACGAAAATGTATTCCTCACTAATAATTTTATAATTGGTGACAAATTTGTTTCTCACCAAAAGTCTCAAAATTTTGGCGCCACTCAAAAAAGTTAGCGGAAAAATCTTCAGTGACGAAACTAAATTTTTCCTCACCTAAAAAGAAGTGTTTATTGATGAAAATAAATTTTGTCACCCATTATTTTTATTTTTTTATTATATGTGACAAAATTTTATAATTCTTCACCGATTATCCTTATTTAGTGACGAAATTTATTTTCTTTACTAGTTTTCGTCACCATATGTTACTTTTGTTATAACGACTAAATTCATTTTTTGTCGCAAAATCTCAAATATATAATGACTAATTTTTTTAGTCGCCAAATCTCAATCAACGGTGACTAAAATATTAGTCGCTAAAAATATTAATTTGGCGACTAATTTTTTTTGGTTGCTGAAAATAAGTTTTTGGCGACCAAGTTTTTGGTCGCCAAAAAATATGTGACCTTCCGCGACCAAATTTGTAGTTGGTCGGCAAATGCATACCACTTTCTGCGACCAACTCATTTTTTGGTCGCCAAAATATAACCTTCTGCGACCAATAATATTTGGTCGCCAAAAATAATGATCATTCGCGACTAATTAAAATTTGGTCGCCAAATGTGATTTTTTTGCGACCAAAATTTTTTTGGTCGGCAAAAGTGGTCGCAAAATGTGTAAATTCTTGTAGTGCGATTAGGTACATCTAAAAAATAACAATGAAAAAAGAGTTCACTCAAGATAATAATAAATAAATGAATAATTGAATTTGAAAGCTATAGAAATGTGTTAGTTGAGTAGTATCTATCTTTTAGACAAAGGATGATGACCACAACAAAATTCATTTATATGTGTGTACAAAATATATGAATGTGCATTTGTTTCACTATATATAATTAATTTTAGAAGAAGAAGATAAAACATTTTTATTTCGTTTTCAAGTATAAATCCAATTGCCATGACCCAAAAAAGGTTAGCTGTAATCAACATTAACCTAACAGGTGACCTATCACACAGTATTGTACAACAATTTGTAGAGTGCACTGCATTTATTCTGATGATTTGAGTCTCAAGGATGCAATGCAATGCTATGCTTACAAAACTACAGATTAACAGTTTTTTCAACAAAAAAAAAAACAAAAAAACAAAAAAACAAAAAAACAAAAAAACAAAAAAACAAAAACAAAAAAACAAAAACAAAAAACAAATATGTAGCAATAGCTTTTCCTCTAATTTGCTAATTAACTCTTTTTTCGCGTTTATTTTATAACTTGAGTGAGAAATTATGAGAATGAGAACTTTCCTATTAAGTTTATTTGATTTGTTACCAATAGTGAGATTTGATGAGAAACAAGCTGATGTAAAAAAATATTTATAATATCAAGATTGTACCTTAAAATACAAAAGAAAAAAAAAATCTCACTTGTATCCCTATCTCACGTACTTTTCTCTCTCATGCATTCAACAATAGTAAAAAAAAAGTATTATTTCTTTTCTTTTCTCACCCAGACGAGATTACAGTTACTTTTCTCATCCTACAATCCAAACGAAGTGTAATTACTTTGCACTGACCACCATAGGAGGTGGTAGTATAGCGAGTGGGAGCTCATTTATATTGGGTTTGGTAAGTAAATTGTTCTGTATCGGCATTCACTAGTTAAGATCTTGGAAAGATTAGGATCAGCCTATAGTCAAGTTCAAGTCCATCTTGAGGGAGTAGCTGGAGAAGGCTACAGTGAATCACTCTTCCTACACTTAAAAAAATAAAAGAAAATAAAAATGGCACTGAAGAAGAGAATCCGAAGCAAATACTGAGGGAGACATGGAGGGTGATGTTATAGGCATTAAGGCATGCTTTTGATAGCTTTTGCAGCAACTAGACATCACACTAGCAGTCAAAATTTACACCACGCCTCCTTAACAATCCGTAACATCTAGCCTATATATCTAGTCTTTGTATTTTTCTTTTCTCCTATGACTTTCACTTCAAACATTCTATTTGTTAACGTCTTATTTGTCCTTATAAATCAGAAGTGATAGCATATTTTGCATGATACCACTTTGAATGAATAATAATACAATCACAATTTGAGTACAATGTTACAAACGCTATGGTCATAATTAGAAGTTAATCAAAATAATGTGGTAGTGACATTTTGAAATGAAAATGTCTCGGATCTCATAATATGGGTTTCAGAATTTATCCAAAATGTGTATGTGTGTTAGAGATTAAATTGATGAAGTGTGGGGTTCACGAGTGAAATAAATTTGAACCATTAATTGTTATTTTTAGGTAAACTTTGAATAGATAATTTTGGATTTGTAGTGTTGCTGTCTTGAAATTATAAACCACAGTGACGAATATTTTCATTTGAAATAAAAAAATCCAAAAAGTCACATAATATTGCAGTTAATTTCTTTGCAATTCTTTTAAGAACATAGAAATTGATCATATAGAAGAACCACAAAAAATACAAAAGTTGTGTAGTTAAAAGGAAATGTAGATTGTAAGCCACTTCTAATTACTTATAATTATTTTTTCCTCTTCTCAATTCTGCTAAGTTACACATCCCTTCTGAGTGCATATGCATCCGTTACTTTGGGGCATAATCAATACTATTTTGAAATATAATCCCGATAACACATTGAATTATAATCAAAACTATCATTTAGGCATAATCAAACCATTTTAAATCGTAATCAACGCAAATCCCACTTCAATATCATCATAAGGGACCATCATACATAACATAACTAACATCATACTACTAATGAAGGTATAATCTGTATATATCACAGACTATTTTTAAAATGTGTACTATCATACACTTGTCCTTACTTTGTAGTGGAATATGTACATCTTTAGTGTCAAATGTCATAAGCTACATACACTATTATGTTTAAGAAACATGCATGCTATCCATGGAAAGTAGATTGATACATCCCTTTGTTTTTGTTTTTTTTGTTTTGGTAAGGAGAGGAGGATTGGAGAAGAGAATCTGAGACTCCAAACTCAAGTACTGAGCGTGACTGATCCATATAATCTGCCACACATTCATTGTACAAATGACCCTTGCTCATTGATGCAGCCTCCTGAATGTGCTTTTTTGGGTAAGCTTTGAAATGGCTTGCAACTTAAATTGGCTTGAGGCCTTGTAATTCATTTTATCCAATCAAACCTTCTAATAAAATACAAGTATTCTTATGTGAGAAATAGTATGAGAGGTATTCCAACTTTATTACTATTTCAGCAAATCCCCAATAACTCTGATGGAACATCTACAGAATAATTAATTTATAAGTGAATTATAATTTTTTTTTTTTGGTACATCGGAAATGAGTGAATTATAGTTTGTGAGTAGCCTAAAGAGTGTGATGCATAAAAAGGTATCCTTGTTGCACTTTACATTATTATGCATGTGATACCCTGCTATGGTAAAGTTAAACCAAATGCATATTGAGAAAGGTGAAAACAACTTTAAAACCCATGATTGCTTGTTTAATGTAGTTTATGGGGGCAGTTAGAGTGGAATGAAATTATTCTTACATTTGATTCATTGAAAATTTAAGAAAAACGCTTTACAAATTAATTATCATTTATTATTATCAGAGAATTATAATTTTACAAGAAATTCAAAAAAAAAAAAATACTATCTTAGATATGTATTTTGTCTGTATATGGTATGTATATGTATAGGGTGTTTTAAAAAAAAAAAAAAAAAAAAAAAGAGAGAGAGAGAGAGAGAGAGAGAGAGAGAGAGAGAAAGGAGGGGAACCCATGTTGTTTTTAGAACAAAAATGTTATGTACATGAATTTTTACTATCAAAATTTATTTCAAAAGTCAGCCTATGACGCGGATTAAAGTTTGCGGCATGTCATCTATGCTTCCAATGAATGTGATTTATAATTATTTTTTCTAGATAGTTTTTGATTAATTTTTTTTAAGTATATAGCATAATTGTTTCACTATAAGTTCGATATTGTTCACAAACTAGCAAAATGTGTGAATAGATTACAAATTCTGATTAGTTTAATATAAAAGAATTTACCACTTTAATTGGAGTCTAATACTTTTTTTAGATATAAATCCATATTTGGTGCACCTGATTATAGGTCAAAAGCTAATAATTAGACAATATAAGCTAAAAGTGCATTTCTCCTAACTTTAACTAATTAATTTTTTCAACTTATTTAAGATGTTTCTACTTAATAAGTTGTAAGCAGTAGCACAAATTGTACCAAATAATCTAACATATACTCTCAAAGTAGTTAAATTAAATTATAAGCAACTAATTTAATCTGAATCAAATATCCCTGAATTAAAATATATATATATATATATTTGCCAAAATTGTACGATATTGGTTTGTCAGTAAAATTATAACTAAAAGGGTCGCATTTCTCCATCAACTTGAATCCCTGACCTTCCCCTTATCACATACATCTTAAAGTTTGACTACAAAAAAAAAAAAAAAATTATCATATAGGTCCGCCCCATATCTTATGTGATTTGCCCTTCCAATTTTATTAGTTACATACCTACTATTTTTTATTTTTTCTCGTATGTATTACATAAAACAATCAATAGAATTAGAAGAAAACATAGCCTAATTGAAATTTTTGGAAGGCAAAATAATTCCTCGACTTCGATGATTTAATAACCACACCTTAAGATGTGGTGAGTGAGATATCAAAGATTCAACTTGATAGAATAATATTGAACCCTTCAATTATAATCTAACAATACTACCATACTAATTCTCTCTCTTGCGCGCAAGTGCGCACACATTCACACACAAACTATGTAAAACCCAAGGCCCCTATATTTTGTTCACACACTCTCAAATGTGTAAACAAACTCATTTGCCCCAACTATCCCTGTTACACGTGTCTGCATGCAAGCCTTCCACCGAGTCTTCCCCTTCTAGTTATTTAGTTCCTCTTCCCACTCACTCACTCTCTTTTCTTCACATATTTCAATCTCTTAGCCAACTTGAATTCAACTTCACAAGAATGAAGGTACTCTCACTCGTTAATCAAAAAGCTCACTAGCATTTCTCACTCTTGATCTTTCCACACTTGACACATGTCACTCTCTCTTTGGTTGTGCAGATCTTCAATTGGGTTCATCGAAAGTTTCATCACAAAGGTTTGGTTTTTTCATCATGAAATCGAATTTAAAATGCCTTGCTGTTTATTTTTGTCCATTTCTTTAACACACATAATCAATTGCATTAAATTGATACAATTCAAATAATAGAGATCAAATTTTGTCTAATTATCTTGATCTACAGAGACAAATTTGTGTTTTTGCAGATGGGTTTGGTGGGAATGTGAAGAAGAGCACCGAAACAGAGTGTCAAGTACTGCTTGAAAATGTCACTCTCGTGGAGGTGCTTGGGGGTTGGATAGATGGTATTCTCACCATTGGTACATTTGGGTTCGATCCATCCACTGATTTCGATCAAAAAAATGAATGTCCGTTGGTTGAAGAAGAAGAAGAAGAAGAAGAAGAAGAAGATGATGATGATGATATGAAAGAATGTGATGATGAAGAAGAACAGAGTCTGTTGGTGTTGACTGTGAAAGCTGATCTAAGAGATTATGAAGTTGGTTTAGATTCGGAAGAGTTGGAAGGTGATATGAGGAAGAAGAAGAGAATTACACTTGCAGACTTGTTTGTTGCTGATTCTGATTTGAATGAGAAGCCAGATTGCGGGAAGGTCCTAGAAGATTTTGGTAAGAAGGTTGATGTTGATGCCAAGAAGAAGAAGAAGAATAAGAAGAAAGGCTTCTCGTCTGCTAAGAAGTTCATTCCTGGTGTTGGAGACGATACAAGTCCGATCAAGAAACTACACCAAGTTAGTTCTCTCTCTCTCTCTGCTCTGTGTTTTTCCAATTTTATTAGTTGTTTTATGCAATATATAAAAGAAAAAATAAAAAACAATGATTATGTAACCAACAGAATTGCAAGGACATTCCACGTAAAATAGATATGTGGTGGATTTATGTGATAATTTTTTCTCTCTTGGGAATTTTATTATTGGTTTAGACTTTTTTTATGTTGAGTTGAGATCTCAACATGAGAAAATTTGAGAACTCGCTAGAGCCTTCTACGAATCTCATTTTGATGATCTGAACCATTCATTTTGTAGAGTCCTCAATGTGTATCATCCATAAAAAAAATTTAGGCCAATCTGATTATTACAACATTTTCAATTTATCATATTTGTTTCTAAAAAAATAGATGGTTTATTTCAAAAATATATATGTCATCCATTTTTTTGAAGATAAATGCAATAAGTGAAAAGTTACAATTACTGAATCAAACTAATTTTTTTCATGGATAATATATATTGAGGAACCTATAAAATGAACCGTTCGAATTATCGAAACAGATCCCGTGATGAACCCTATAAGCCTTTTTAATTTTCTTATATTGAAATCTCAACATGAGAGAACCGAATCTTTTACAATTATCCTCCTTCCTAAAACCAATGGATGATATCACTTGTTTTTAATGGCATTCGACATCACGCCCTACAAATTTATTTTTAAAGTAGTCATTGTGTACCGACAATTCCTTCCTCACGATGATGCTTTCGTGGCTCGAATCCATAATAACTTGGCTATGATACAATGATTTTACTAAGGGTAAAACTCGGTCCGACAAGTTATTCATCTATTTTAAATTTACAATAGTTGATACATGTGGTAATTATTAAAAAATAACTTTTTGTTAAGAAAAAAAAAGTTGTGAGTCTTTTTAAATTTTTACTCTTGTGAAAAATTATTATATCACCCTTGTAGTAGTAAAATATTTGTTAACAAAACTAGACATGTGTAATGAAATTTGTTGAAGTATGAAGGGTGAGATTGTCTTTTAACAATTCTAAAAAATTATATTTATAGAGAAGTTTAGTATTTTTTTTAGTCAAACTAAACAAGCTTTTTCACTTTTACTTTTCAGCTAAAAAAAAACTTATAGATTGTCAATCAAGATTTTGTCTAATTTGTATTATTCCCTTAAAATTAATTAAAATTATTGAGAATTTCACTTATGTCTTTTCATGACATTCGACATTAAACTGGTAATTTGGCTTTAACATCACTTGTTGAACCAAGTTTCACTATTTCTTATGGGGAACCTCACTTAATTCTTTAATGGCATTCCACACCGCATTTGTAAACATATTTTTGAAATAATTGTAGAAAGCAACATTATATATATATAGGATTTTTTTTTTAGGGTCTATGGTATTAAGATTTTATAGCATAAAGGATATCAAATATTTTCATAATATCTAAGGTCCTTCAATTTGATCCAGAGAAATTCTGCTCTAGAAAAATTCTGTCCAGAGAAATTTCAAACCAGAAAAATTTGAAATTTCTCTGGTTTGTTCAGTTTTTTTGATTTTTTATGTTTTGAAATTTCTCTAGGGTTGAATTTTCTTTAATTTTCTCACAACTAACTCTGTGATTTGCTGCTTTGGTTCTTCATGTGAGGATTGAGCTTTATCATCCAAAGCTTCCACATATTATATGGATAAAACACTGGAATATCTTGTCAATAATTGCCTTAAATCACATGTGGTTTTCATTTTGGGGAATAAAATGAGCAACTTTGTAAAGAAATTTTAATCAATGGACAAAAAAAGAAAAAAGAATTCAAATGAATTAAAGCACTGAGAGAAGAACTCTGTGGGTTATAAAATGAATTCAATTCTCAAGTTAACATCATTACACCTTTATACATACCAAAGATTCAAAAAACATGATTTCCAAACCAGAGAAAATTCACAGAGAAAATGTCAAATTTCTCTGGACAACACTTGAGGATTAGTTCAATTCAAACCAGAGAATTTCTCTAGATCAACCCAGAGAAAATTCAGTTCAAATCATAGAATTTCTCTAGACCAATCCAGAGAAAATTCAGTTTAAACCAGAGAATTTCTCCGGACCAAACCAAAGAAATTTCAGTTCAAACCAGAGAATTTCTTTGGTTTCAACCCAGAGAAAATTCAGTTAAGGTGATCGTGATTTACCATTTCTTTCTGATAATGGATCATCTGAATCAGCTTTTCACTACCACCGCAAACCTACCATTCCTTTGGTTCTTCATGTGAGAATTGAGCCTTATCATCCTCGCCATCAAGAGAGAGAGAGAGAGAGAGAGAGAGAGAGAGTCTCTAATGAGAGGAAAGCTTCAACTGTTCCAACAATGGCGGAAATCTCAGAAGCAGAACCACCCGAATCTTCTTCACCAGACTCCCCAGAAAACAACAACAAATCAGAAATTCCTTTGGACTTCGACCCCAACACCATACAAATCACCAAACCCGGATTGAAGCGCCTCATTCTCTCCCTCACCGTTCTCTTCTCATTCTTCTTAGGTCATTCTCTCTCTCTCTCTCTCTCTTTGTATATATATATGTATGTATATGAATTTGGTGTTTCGATTGTGTTGACAGGTCTTCCATTCTTGCTAAAATCTATCGAGATATACCGTGCACCTCTTCCATTTCGCGACATCGATTCACTTTCAAATGCAATCAAATCGACTCCACTGGTCCTCTCTTGCCGCTTTCACGCAATCTTTGTAGGTTTCGATCACAAATCCTCACTCGAGTCAAGTGCGGATAAGCTAGGGTTTTCAATTCTAGGTCATATGACCAAGTTTACTGGCGATGATTCGGTTTGTGGCTGCTCTGCAGTAGAGGAAGAGAGACAAAGAGTCAAATTTCTCTGATATATTTAGGGACCTTAGACATCAAAAAATAATTTTGTGGATCTCTTACATTACGAAAAGTGAGAGAGGGACCCTAAACTAATTTTCCCATATATATATGCAACAATCATTTCCTCATGATGAAAATCTAACTCTGATACTATTTTTGAAACTAAAGACTCTTTTTGTGACATCATAAATAAGTTGTTTATTATTTTATTAGATTATTTGAATCACATTATCTTTCTATTTTTTTGCACATTTTTTGGTAATGAATCATACCCAAAACAACCCTATGACCATGTTTGGCAATTAGTTAAAAAGTAAAAAAGTTAATATGAAAATTTATCTTTCTATTTTTATTTTTACACCTTTTTGTAAAAAGTTAAAAAAATACTAAAAAAATCAATCTCCAAATGAATTCTAAATTTTACCATTTCTCTTAAAACAATTTCATATTAAAAAGATTTCACTCATGTCAATATTATACTCCCAACGATTGAAAAGATAAAAGAAATGTTTTATGAACTTATAATTAACTAATTACTTTTGTAATGCATATACATATATAGTTGATGAAAAGAATGATGAAGAGGAAGATCCATCCAGACCTTGAAGAAAAATTTGAAGAGATGGATAGCCAGATGAAGCCTACAACATGTGGTCTTATTGCACATGGATATGGAACCAGTGAATCTGTTTCCCTTCTTCAAACTAAAGGTAACACTCACACTAGTAAATACTAGAGTTGATCATGGTAATTTCGACGTCAATTTGAAACATTTGATCATTGCCAAATAATAAAAATCTAAGCTCAAAATGGTTCTATATTAAATTTTGGAAAATGTTATTCTTCTATTTTTTTTTTTCCACCAAAGTATTCACTTGAGTGATATAACAATGATTTCTATACAAACGTCTTCGCACAATTCTGGTGAGTTTTTTTTTTTTAATTTTTAAAAATAATAATTTTTTTATGAAAAAGTTAGTTATTTAGTCAAATGAAACAACTTATTTATTTTTAACTTTTTTTAAATTAAAAAAAAAAAACTTTGGAGACAGTCAAACTGACCATGCACTCCTAATTTCTGGAGCAAGGATCCTCTAAAGTGATTTTTCCTTAAAGTTTCCCAGAGTGCTACATTGTATGGTTGAGATTTACTGGCAAGTCACATCAATTTTTCTGATGTGACTTGCCAGTAAATCTCAATCACACAATGTAGCACTCTAGGAAACTTTAGAGAAATTTCACTCTAGAGGATCCTTGGTGTAATTTCTGACATTGATGTAACACACTACTTTGTTGTAGAACCGAAAACTATTTAGGTTCCTTTAGGGGTTTGTTTTTTGAATTTTTGATTATTTTTAGGGCTAAGCAATCTCGTTTGAGATAGATTTTTTGACTTTTTTAATTTTTGTGAAAAAAAAAATAAAATGATTATTATTTGGATGTAATATTTTGTCTAATTAATTTTTTAGTCTATTTTATTTTTTTGTAACTAAAATAATCAAAAAAAATAAAAAAAATTGACATGCCAAACGAAGGCTAAGTCATCAACATAGCTACCACATTTGATCCTAACTAAAACTGTATTGCGAAATAACCAAATGTTCTGTTTTGTGAAATAACCAAATGTTATAATGTTATTTAATTTAATGATAGCAATAATGGGTCCTCCAGAATATAAAACCAAAGACAGTTCCAACAAGAAAGTGGTGGGATGATCACACATGAGTTCTTTATTAATTTTGGCTCTTTATTTCTGCCTTTATCATCATCATCATCATCATCAACTTATTCTCCTCCTCCTTCATTTGTTGGAGTTATTTTATTTTATTTTCCTTAAGGCAATGATCAAACAGTTATTTTATTTTTTTTAGAATTTTACATATTATTGACTGAAGTTTCTTTATCTCTCTGATGCAGAATCTATTGTCTGAAATGTGAGAGAAGTCAAGATCTGTTTTTTTTAGAAAACGTGTTGTCTTGATTGCCTCTTACGCTGTGTTTGGTTAGGGGATTTGAGAAGGGATTTAAAAAGAGAAAGGAAAAAGTTAGGTGAAATGTAAATAAAATATACTTACATTTCACCTAATTTTACACACATTTTCCATTTCCTTTTCCAAATCTCTCTCCAAATCCCCCCACCAAACTGTTTTCTTCTGTTTACTTTCATGTATATATGAACAATTGAACTATGTGAATTTATTTTGTACAGGATTCAATTGATTTTGTTTTGGCACATTGATGCATGTCTTTTTTTTTTTGTTTTGTTTTGTTTTTTTTTTTTTTATGCTCATAATTGTGTTAATTTTAATAAAAATTGTTAGTGGGACACATCTAAAAACTTTTGTCAATTCATATATATTATGTGTTTGAGTTTGTAATAAACTGTTGTGTTTCTAAACATATTCATTTCTTAACTTGGCAGGTTAGTTTTTCTCAAATAACTAATCATTTTTTAGTGGAAGGAGTTCTAATAGCTAAAGAAAAATGGTACAAATTAAATTAGGTCAAAGATTTTGTCTGTAAGTAACTAACTCTCTCATGTTACACTCATATCTTTATGTTTTAAGATTTGTGTCATCTTATGTGATTAAAGAATGCATTGAGAACATGATTGGAGGAAGCTTAGAATATAATTGTTGATTTTAAGGTCTAAAGTTGAAGACAAGCCCATTTCTATTTAAGAGTTTGGACTTTTCCATTAATTGGAGGGTCCAATTCACAAAATGAACTATGGATCACACAAAGGGGCCCACTTCTGTTCAAAATGCGGTGTTCAAAAGCAGTATTTTTTTTTTCTCACTATTATGTTAAATCTAATTTAAAGTGGGGGAATTATAATTAAGTGATGTTTTAAAAAAATATTTACAAATATATGCAATAGTTTAGAATTTTAATTATTAATATTTATAAAATTTGTCATGTGTAATTTGTTTTCTCCATAATTTCCCTATTTAAATTTGTCATGGGGCCCACTAACTTCATTATGCTAGATTGCCTAATGCGCCAGTGGACCAAAGCCCAACCCAATATTATATATGAGGCCTAGTTTAAATGGGTATTAATGGATATATATATATATATATATGATGCCTGTTGGCAATTAGCCAGCCCAGTAAACAAACTAATGTAACGGTCTAACCCAAACTTTCTTTCTGCATCCATCTATACATGGATTACAGCATATCCAATTATTTATCTTTTCTTTTATCAAATTTAAATTTAATAAAAAAGTACTCAAAAATCAACGCTAATCATTTCATCAAATTAAAAACTCATCAAATCCGTCCTGAAATTTGAATTTAATGAGAATTTAAAAAGACGAGAGCAATATTGGCAATGATATTTTTTCATCAAATTTGACGAAAAAGAAAATTTGACAAATTTGAGATAAGAGGAGGACTTTTAAAAAAAAAAATGAAAGTATTGAAATAGCTCATATCAAATCAAGTTTTTTATTTAAATTTGAAATCAAATTAGATGAAAAAATTAGTAAAGCAATGGAGATGGTCTTACTCAGAACAGTTTAGAGACGTAATTAATTGCTTCCTCCAAAACAATAATTGAGAATTTTTTTTGTTAATCTGCATCCTTATAACACATGTTAAGATGCTTAAGACACACGTTAGCAAAATACATTAAGAAAAATGCATAATTAATTAATTCTCTAATTCACACACAAATTGCATAAGACAAGTAGACGTCTTACAAAATTTTATTGTCATTAAACATAAATATAGTTGGGTTTATATTATTGAATACACATGAAATCTATTATTTATGTTTTAGCTAATGAATCCAAAATTTCCGACATGGTCAACATCAACAACATAAACAAGGGAAAAGGAAATAGAAAATTTCTGAAAGAGAAAGAAAAGTAAGACAGTTTGATAGACCGTATAAGCACTGTAGGATGCTGTGTACACCTACAAATTATCAGCAAAGTATATATATATATATATATATATGATTAGATTACATTTCATGGTATAGAAATTTTAGAGAAGATATTTACTTAAATTAAACACCGACAAATTATAGTAGCCACATGTAATTGGAATTGTTCAGTAAGAAGTTCTATGTACAAATAATTTTAAACAATCACATTGATTTGGACAATTCTCTTAGCAAATATGTATGCATTTGGGCCCTGTCCAAATTGACTGAAAGATACTAATGCATCCCCAGAAGACAGCCTTTTCGAAAAACAAAGACAAAAAACAAGTGGTAATAGCACAAGCAATGTTGAAGCAAGAAAATGATGTTATTATTTCATGCATTCAGTTTTCGCTAATAATGTTCTGAAGATCACATTATTGTAAGAAAGATCAAAGTTTCTTCATTTAGACAAAAGAATGAAGTGTTAAATTTTTATTCTAATAAAAAATTGCTTAGAGAGAATATACAAGAGGCCTTATATAGGCGTAAGAGATCTTGGAGTAGGCACCAAGTCAATACAGATATGGAAAGGAAAAAATATTTATGGAAGTAATACAATTGTAAGAAAGATCAAAGTTTCTTCATTTTACTTTTTTCTGCATCCCAGAGTCTGTTATATGGGTGAGTTGGTGTTTAGAAGGTATTTTAGGGGAGATTTTAACTTGTTGGCACCTAATCAACTTTTTTATCTGATTTGTTCTTGGGTTTTGGTTTTGCACATGATTATCAAGGAGCATGTAGGATCCTAGTGTTGAAGGTCACCCCATGTGAAAGGGGTGATCCTCATGTCAACAAAGGAAGACAACCAACCAAGTCAAGCTTGGTGGCCACCAACCATAGCAAAGGTCAAGAATGGAGGCTACCCAAGTCAAGAATGAAGGCTCTCCCACCTACTCCTTTGTGTATAAATAGAGACGGGAGGGAGAGGATGAGATACAGATCAGAAATTAGAGAGTGAGAGCTGTGAGTTGAGTGAGTTTCATCTCCTCCTCTGTATTTTGTATTTTGCTCCATTTTAGTGAAAACTTCTCATTTCTGTCCGTGGATGTAGGCATTGGGCCGAACCACGTAAATATTGTGTTCCCTGTGTGTGTGAGATATATTTCTGGGTGTGTTTGATCCTAACACCTAGTTGGGCTGAGCACTTTTTGTAATGATGCATTTGTTAGGTATATATATGGGTATTTTAAAACAAGAATCTTCTCTATTTGCCCTTCTCTATTCACCACCAAATTGCTTTCCATCTTTTATGTGGAAGCATTCTTTTGGGTTTGAATGTGGATGGATCCAAGGGGAGCTCTCGAACGCACCAGTGAGTCGATGCCCAGGCAATTTCAGAAACTCAGGAATACGATGCAAGATGCATGTATCTTCCTCCATTCCCTTTTTTTTTTTTTTTTTTTTTATAATCTGCGAAAGTCAACTGTTAGTTGTTAAATTAACACCTATGGGAGTTAGTCTTCTTACCCTTATAATGTACAAAGTGCCCTCCTAATTCAATTCATCTTTATGAAAAGTTGAACCCATAACATCTCTCTTAAAATTAAACCCTTTTGAGAGTCATGGTGGCTAGTTGATTTTCTTCTCCCATTCCCTAACAGCTTAATCTTTTGTAAGAGTTTTGCACCCATTGGTTCATTTATAGAAGAAATTCAACAATGCGTGACATCAAGAAGTTAAATTGTTGCATTCATTATTAAGTTGATGTGTGAATTAGTAAGTGTTAATACGAAAGTTATTCATTATTTGAAATGTATACATATTATATTTATTTTAAATGTGACTCAAGTCATTCAAAATTGAAACCAAATTTTTAAAGCTTTTATCAAATTTGATATATTTTTATCAATTATAATGCACTACACTTGCCATTTTTTTATACTCTATTTTATTTACCATATCATATATTATACTACCATTAATGCAATTGGTTCCACAAATGTAGTATAAAAAGATGAGAAACAATTTTGTATCAAAGATGAAACATAAGAACCCCATCAACCATTAGTTTCATCTATATTGTGGCTAAAACTTATTTTAATAGGTTCTCAAGGAAGCACATCGTAAGGATGGAAAATGAGTCTAATGATGATTTGGAAGAAAAATACATACTCCCTCCGTCCCAAAATGTCAATCCTTTATTTCATTTTTCATTTTCTTACAATATTAGTCCATTTAAAAAAAGTAGGGACTAAAATAATATGAATTTCCTATTTTATCATTCTTTTAAATTTATTAATAACACAAAAAGTACAATTATGACAATTGATATTTTTCAAAAAATGTAGTATCAAAGCGTAATTTTGAAAAATTAATTTTTTTAAAATGTAATAATTATATTACCAAAAAAAAAATTAGATTCCCCGAAAAGAACTATTATTTTAGGATAGAGAGAGTAGGTGAATTGATTCTTATGCACTTCTAGAATACCAAATTTTCTTTTATCTTTTTTTTAAAAAAAAAAGAGAATAAATTGGTTTTAGAAGAAGATAATAGGTTGAGCTAGTTCACTACTACCAATAGCACTAGACAAATCAAACAAAAACACATATCTAGCTTTGCAAGTTGCAATTCGGACACAACTGTCTCAATCCCCTTGTGGTCTTTCCTCCTAAATAAACATTATATGGTCTAAACCCTTATACAATTTTTATTTAATTTCACTATTAGCAAGTAGATTAATTGTTATATACACCCTCCAGTGGCCTAGTGCCAACCACACTTCGATTGATTAATAAATGATAATAGGTTAAAAGAATTTCTGCGAGGTGGACATACTATGAGTGAAAGCTTGGCGCGGGTGTTCAAGCCAAAAGCTCCTCTAATTAGAGATCAAACTCAATCCCCTTGTGGTCCTTCCTCCTAAATAAACATTATATGGTCTAAACCCTTATACAATTTTTATTTAATTTCACTATTAGCAACTAGATTAATTGTTATATACACCCTCCAGTGGCCTAGTGCCAACCACACTTCGATTGATTAATAAATGATAATAGGTTAAAAGAATTTCTGCGAGGTGGACATACTATGAGTGAAAGCTTGGCGCGGGTGTTCAAGCCAAAAGCTCCTCTAATTAGAGATCAAACTCAATATTGATCAGCTTAGGTTTAATGGGATCGATGACCCTTACTAGGTGAAGGTTTGATTCTTTTGGGAGTTACATTTTTAGTTTTTTTTTTTTTTGTCTTTAGTAATAAAAAAAATTAAAATTATATAAAATTTTGTTTTTTGACTAGGTGCTTCTAAAACTTTAAATTTTACTTTTTTTTTAAATTTAAAAAAATAAGCTATTTTTTGTGATTTTTCACTAGGCGCTTCTA